CATATTTAGCTTTCTTCCTACCATCTCCCTGTAATTCAAAAGGCAATTTAGACTCCCATATGGTTGCCATCGAAGCTAACAGATGTCTAGCAAATTAAAGCAAAAATTATGACTTATAAACTGCTGATGTATCATCATTCCAGAACATCTTACAATTTATAGTGAATCATAAGGCAAGGCTTCCTACTTGATGCCCCCCCAAGGTTCCTTAAATCTCTCTCCTCTCTGCATTTAAGCCCTGTGGAAACAAATTAGGTACAACATTCTGCCATCAACCCAGGATAAACCTCCACTTAAAGGCATAATGTAGTATTTGCAAGCACATCAAAGAGAATTTGGCCTCACGTATCCAAGGCTGTTCCAATCCTTGTACAGCAAAGAGAAGAGAAAAGTGACTCGGTTCTCCCAAGTCTTTCAAGGCTTCCACTGATCCATGAGGCTTTTTTTCTAAAAAGTGATAATTAAATCTACAGAATCCATTCCCTTCATCTCCTTTCTATCCAAAGGGTCATCATCATCACCTGGGAGTAATGATGCCAACGTACCACCAGGCTCAGGTATTCTAGAAATTGTAAAGCCCACGATGGGACTAGTATGAAATCTGGAGATAATAACACGCATGATATTCACTGTTCTTTAAATATTGAGACATTGTGCTTGGTAATACATTTTCACATTGACGCCTTTAATTTATAGCTCCATTAGATAATGTTACCATCCCTTTATAAACAAGAAGTTAAGGTTCAGTACAGCAGACTGCATTTGCCAAAGATGGCCACAACCCACTCAACCTAAACACCTGTCCATCAAAAGATGGAATCCCTTTCTTCACCCTCTTGAACTTGAGCAGGCTCCATGCATGGTTTAACTCAGTGGTTCTCAACCTTCCTAATGCCACGACCCTTTAATACAGTTCCTCATGTTGTGGTGACCCCAACCATAAAATTATTTTCGTTGCTACTTCATAACTGTAATTTTGCTACTGTTATGAATCATAATGTAAATGTCTGATATGCAGGATGTATTTTCATTGTTATAAATTGAACATAATTAAAGCATAGTGATTAATCACAAAAACAATATGTAATTATATATGCGTTTTCCAATGGTCTTAGGCAACCCTGTGAAAGGGCCGTTCGATCCCCAAAGGGGTCGCGACCCACAGGTTGAGAACCGCTGGTAACCGGTGAAATAGATGAAAGTGACAGCGGGCCGGTTCCAGGTATAGCGTTAACCGGCTGGAAGCTTCTTCCATTCTCAGAGACCAGACAAAGCCACGTGTAAGTCCTCCAGCCAACAACCCTGGCTGAGCGCTCAGCAAGGCATCCCCCTCCCCCAACTGAGTCTTCAGGTAACTCCAGCCCCGGCTACATCTCACTACAACCGAAAGAGAGATGGAAAATGCCAATTGCCCAGATGAGGCTGGGCAAATCACAGAACTGTCAGGTGTTAACAATAAAGTTCTGCTTTAAACCACTAATTTGGGGGGGCTTTGTGTTATGTAGCAAAGGAGAGCGAGACTATGGAGATAATTTACTTACCTAGGAAGAGTTCAGAATTACAGCCAGAAATCCAAAAGGGTCCAGAGCAAAATATCTATTAATGGTGGGCAATGGGCCGTGGGGGCTCAGTACCCAAAAGCAGCAACTGTAACACAAAGCTCCCTTTTCTTTCCCTACCCCACCCCTAAGTGGCTTCAGGGTTTTCTGAGAAATGTCCTAGTATGGTGACACCCTCAATAGCATCAATTCCCTTCAGGCTCGAATTCTTGCGATATAAAATAGGGAAAATAAGATTCCACCACCACCACCCTGTGATACCTAATGAGAAAGGAATCTGTACAAGATGTTGACTTTGTTACTCAGAACATCATTACAACTGTCTTATACAAGGATTCAGATTTTAC